GTCTTTTTTTTTTTTTTTTTTATGGGGTTTGACAGCGCGGGTGGAGACGTGCCGGTACTTGCGTGCCAGGGCCACTCGGCTCTTGCGCTCAAGTACCTACGCAACTCCCCGCCGCCGTCTCCGTCTGCCTTGCCCCAGGAGCTGCACTTGGGATTCCAGCGCCGTCGAGGCGTCCAATTCAGCCTCGCACGTGTCGTTTGGTCCCCGACGGAACGTTTTCTTTTTCCTCTTTCCTTTCCTTGATGACTTCATGCTGTATCTTAGATGTCATAATGTCCTGGGCCTCGGACAGGAAAATATACGTTATCTCAACTCTCAACACCAACAACATCTGGGCAGTGTGTGACCGAGCGTCGGCCTGGTCGACGCGGCTCGACACCTGCAGCTGCCTGTCCCGCAGTACGTACAATGCAGCGAGGTTGACAGCGATTGCGCATTGCCGATGTCTCAGACGCAGACGCGGGTGGGGCAGCCCGCCTCAGTGCCTAAGCTGGGTACTTCAACTTACTTAAGGTAAGTACAGAGTCCTTGGGCGAATACGGAGCGGCACATATATATGTACGCACATAGTACGTTCACGGTTCCACCCACGTTGCACAACCTCGACCTGCCACCTCACCTCACCTGGCAACCACCACCGTGGACATCGTCACCATTACCACTCCCCATCGCAGCGCCGTGAAGCAAAGGACGTGGACGTGGCGGACGTGGCGGACGTGGCGGACGTGGCGGACACGCCCTCTGCCGCGCTGTCGACCGACCGTCGGGGTGCCAGACGCCCACGCCCGCCCACGCCCGCGACGACAGGCCCTCGCCTCCGGCGGCTCTCGCGCACGGCCCGCGCCGTCATCGGCAGCGCGCGGACCTGCCTCGCCTGCCCTGGCCTTGGCGCAAAGCAGCCATGCATGGGCACCGACTGCCCGGCGCGGCGACCGCCTCTCGCACCGCCCAGACGAGACGGGATGACGTCGCCGCCCGGGGAGAGCTTCGGCTTCGGGGGGTCCCACGCGCTGGGGAACGAAGTAATAAGCAGCTCCGGCCGAGCACAGCACCAAAAAGTGAGCAAGAGGCACTTCCGCGCCCGTCGTGCGCGTCTCTTGCCCGCGTGCCACGTTGGCGCCATGGGCCGAGTCCGTGCCGTGTCGACCAGCGTGGGCTGCGGACTGGCCGTGCTACTCTTGTACGCGGCGCGCCGTAGCATCTCCCGCATTGTTGCTCGTGTGCGCGCGCCTACGGGACGTCCAGGACTCGTGGCCACCACTAAGTGCAGCTAGATGCGTGGTGCGTGGTGCTGGGCGCGCCTGTTTCGTCGGCCGCGCCGCCGCCGCACACCTCGGGCCTGTCCGTACGTGGCGTCGGCGCGTGTGGGCGCGGCGAGGTAGAGAACGCCCATCTTGTTCCCGGATCCGTACAGTCGCCGGCTGTTCAGGGGGCAGAGACGGCGGCCGCTGCCACAAGCTCGCACAGAGCATACATACATGCATGCACGCGCTTGCCAGACTTCATGTTCACCGTCGCTGTGCGCACTACTTTGGCTGCCAACCACCTCTTGCAGAGCACGGCAAGTCACTCAAACACACTGCGGCTAGTCATTCCTATGGGTCTATGGAAACCCCTCGTGGACAAGGTCCGGCGAAGCGAACCTTGCGCCCCCCTTCTTACAAAGTGCCACTCGGTAACGAGCAATTCTCATACATCTGATCTCATCCCTACTACCGACGTGCTCAGGCATTACGACCCGAGCGTCAGCTTGGGGTGGATGCGCTGTCCCACCCGCCTCCGACTACCAACTGTCGTCAGATGTTGTACTTGTGCGGCGTGCCTGGTTCCTCTGTACCATGGACTGCCGCGGTTTGGATTCTTGGCGAGCTACTGTGATGCCGCGCGCGGCCGACCCCTTGAGGGATGCTGTGTTGAATCAAATGATCGCTGTATGCCCTTGTCGTAGCATTCTTGTCCTCAACCCCCGGTGCTTGCGGGGGTGGGACCTGCAGCTGCCTGGCCATTTGTTGTGTCGGCGGCAGTTTTGCCGCCGCCGCCGCGTCCTCGTCGACCTCGACCGCCAGATGACTTCTCCCTCTCCCTCTCTCCATTTGGTGCCTGGCCATCCTTTGCTGGAGAGCTCGGCGTCGCGGCAGCGGCAGCAAGCTTCTTATCCTTCCGCTCGAGCACCTGTACGCTGGCCTGGCCGACCTGAACAGGGCTGGCAGCCACAGCCCTGACCAGAGCGTCGTGCTCGGAAAAGTCCACATAGGCAAAGCCCTTGCGCTTGTCAACCTCGACAAGCGTAATGGCTCCGAATGCGCCCAGAGCTTCTCGAAGTGTTGCATCGTTCACTCCCTGGGCAGCATTGGCATGCTTGACGAAGGCGCGGGTTGCATTTGCCGAGACTGGAGACGACTTCTTTTGCGAGGCTGCCTTGCCGTCGGCTTTTTCTTTGGCCGTCTGTTTGCCGTTACCATTCGTCGTCGCTGGCCCAGAGGCCTGGGCCCGGGACTCGGCAGGCCTCTCGCTGTTTTCGGCGTCCTTCCTCTTCTTCAAGATAACGGGAGGGTTGGTCGCCGCTGGTCGTGAACCAGAGGCCTCGTTAGCTGCTGATTTACTCTTCTCGGCACCACCCTTGCCGCCACGATTTCTCCGTCCAGGCTGGGGCTTTGAGGCGACTGGGCTGTCGGGACCAGTTTTCGTCGCCAGGATTGTGGCCTTGGCGGGACCTGATGCCAATGCTGTAGCACTGGCAGTATTAGTGACGTCTGAGGCTGCACCGTCGTCGTCCTTGACTGAAGAGCTTGCTGCTTTGGTATCGGCCTTGGCAGCATCGTGGCGTGCTCTTCTATGTGCGCTGCCAGGGCTGAGGCCAAGATCGCGCTGCAAAATCCTAGCAGCGGCAGCAATTCCAGCACGTCGGCTTTTAGGCGCATCAGTGGCTGCTGCAGCTGTAGTAGTAGAAGCATTTGAGGTTGCAGTTTGACTCGCCGCCTTCTTCGCCCCTTCTGCTGCCTGCTCGGCGGCTGCCTTCTTAGTAAGGATCTTGACGGTCTCCTTGGGCGTCTTGTCGTGCTTCTCCGTCCTTGACTCCTTGCCCTTCTTCCTACCCGAAGTGTCATCGTCCTTGGCACCACCTTTTCCCTTTCCAGGCTTGGAGTTCTTGCCGGATCCGTCCTTGCCCTTGCTGGCCTTCCTTTCTTTCAAAAACTCGACTAGAGGGGTGGTGACTTTGATGTCGACCTTGGCAGAGTCTTCGGCATCCTCGACGTCGATGCTCTCTCTCAGTGGTGCGGGGTTGGCCAGGCCTTCAAGGAAAGCCATGAATTCAGGGTCTTGATCAATGGTGCCTTGTCGGGCATCCGTGCGCTTCTTCAAGCCTGGGACCTTTTTGTAAATTGAAAACTCCAATACGGGCGGGCCGACCAATGACGGATTGGTGAATGTTGATTTTGCATCCTCCCATGTCGCGTTCCGTACAATCTCGCTGAGGGGCATGATGTCATCCTTGCGCATCAAATGAAGGTACGCCCGACCAGGACGAGAAGGTTTCGAGGGGCTTCGTTGCGAGGGTTAATATGACGGAGTTTCGGATCTAGACCTTTGGGTTTGACATACTCGGTGGAAATTTTCCCAGCAACGTAGGAGAACCAATCGACTTTGCCCCTGGAGACCTCCCACTCTGGTCCGACAATAGAAATAAATTCCTGCTTGGTCATACCTGGCGGCAAACGCCGAACCACCACTTTTTCTCCTTCATTTTGAGGCTTGGATCGTGCGGCTTTTGGTGGCCCCTCCCCATCATTCGCACTCTGGGATTGATTAGAATTTATTTCGGACTTTACGGGGGGGTAACCTGTCCGGTGTCTCTCAAAGTGAAAAGGCTTACTTTGGATGCCCCTCCTCGTCTGTCAGTATGTCCCCTGCCCTTGGCGGGTTTTGAGATGTGACCAGCGGCGTCATTGTCCTTGACCTGCTCAACTTGAATGTCAGACGCCGGGATCTGATGCGTGGCGAAAGACTGGTCGCCACAGACCTGTGATGCCTTCACTCGCTGTCTCATCCTGATCTGGTCAGACGGCCGGCCGGTTGCGCCGCCGGATTGTCCGTTGGCCCTCCGCGAAAGGACTTGCGGTAGCTGTGTGGACATCGCGCATTCTGGGTGCTGAGAGATCTACGTTGACAGTCGGCAAAAGATATCTTCCGGAAGAGGAAATATCCAAAGCCGGCGAGCTCAGTCAGACGCAAGTGACGTTGAAAAGGGCCTTGAGGTGACAGCCCTCGGAGGACCCACAGATTGGTGGAGCTGGTGCTGCTCAGTATCAAAGAGGCAGATCACGTGGACGGCTATATTTGGCTCGGCAGGTACCTGTGTACGATGGATGCTGCTGGATCTAGGTACCTACCTAGGTGCTCAGGAAGCCATCCAAGTACAGAAGACAAGAAGATTTGATAGCAGGGGACCGCAAATACCTAAGTAGGCGGAGAGAAAACTGCAGATCATGGATGTGGCAGTATCGGCCGCGTCCAAATGTAATGTAGAGACTTCAATGTGGTCTTGCGAGCTCGGCCTGCCAGGGGACACCTGGAGGGAGGTTGCCATGGCCGGCTGCTCAGATAAGTACTTAAGTAAGCAAGGCAGGTGTGCTTACTGGCTGGCTTGGGCTGACTGTGGCTGACGTCCGTCTGGCTGTGCGCCGCCTTGCAGTTACCTGTGCCTCGAGCGCAGCTCCTACTTAAGTACCGATGACTTCAGGTTGGCATGGAGCACTTGAGCCCGAAGAAGATCCGGTCATCACCTCCCAGCTCCAGTCCCGATTATCGCTTCACACTTGCTCGACCCCAAAGTGCGGACGGTTCATCCATCTGGCCCATCCTCCCCACAGGATTACCACTCTCCGTTACTACTGTGGCGGGCCGTGATAATCCTCCCTTCGGCCTTCCTCTCGACGAGGCCTGCCCGCATCCGAGACCTCACAAGTGATGGCGACAAGCGTCCCTCGACCCGGCCCCGCCAACTTGGGTCCAAATGCCGGCCTGGACGAATGGCTCGAAGAGGCCAAACAATGCCACTACCTGCCCGAGAGGGTCATGAAGGAGTTGTGCGAGAAAGTCAAGGAGATTCTCATGGAGGGTAGGCAATGGTTTCGTGGTTGACCCAAGGCGGGGAGCCGCGCTGACTGAATGAGCATAGAGTCCAACATTCAGCCCGTTTGCACACCCGTCACAGTTTGCGGAGATATCCACGGCCAGTTTTATGATCTGCTCGAGTTGTTCCGAGTGTCTGGGGGCATGCCTGGGGAGACTAGTGCCCAGGCCCCCAAAACTGCCACCACTGTCATCACCTCCGACGATATCGAGCCGCCGAGCGAAATCACAAACCCGAAGCTCAGGAAGAAGCTACGATCTCCCGTGGGTGATGCTGGTGCGGCCGGTGCCGGTGCCGAGAGCGAAGATGGCGCCGACGCTGTCGCCTGTTCTCGTCCGGGCTCCGCGCTGTCAGGCGCGAATGTCGCCTCCGCTCAGAGCGCCGAGACGCGCTTCATCTTCCTGGGAGACTTTGTCGATAGAGGGTACTTCAGTTTGGAGACATTTACGTTGCTAATGTGCTTGAAGGCCAAGTAGGTCCCACCTGCTCCAAGCCACGGATCGAGTTTATAGCTGACGGCTTTGGAATAGATATCCCGATCGAATTGTTCTTGTCCGAGGTAACCACGAATCTCGGCAAATCACGCAAGTCTACGGTTTTTTTGAGGAGTGCCAGCAAAAGTATGGCAATGCCTCCGTATGGAAAGCCTGCTGCCACGTCTTCGACTTTCTTGTCCTCGCGGCCATTGTCGACGGCGAAGTTTTGTGTGTGCACGGCGGGTTGAGTCCGGAAATTAGAACGATAGATCAAATCCGCGTTGTTGCTCGTGCTCAAGAGATTCCTCACGAAGGAGCATTTTGCGACCTGGTCTGGTCAGATCCTGAAGAGGTCGAGACATGGGCTATCAGCCCACGCGGTGCGGGCTGGCTCTTTGGTGACAAGGTCGCTACCGAATTCAATCATGTGAATGGGTTGAAATTAATTGCGCGGGCTCATCAGCTTGTCAACGAAGGCTACAAGGTACGACGCATTCGAGCAGAGGGAGAAGGCCACCTGCTGCGGGTTGATGCTAACTATATGTGGCAGTATCATTTCGCCGAAAGCTCCGTGGTGACTGTTTGGTCTGCACCGAACTACTGCTACCGCTGTGGCAATGTTGCCTCGATCATGACTGTAGATAAGGATTTGAACCCCAGATTCAGCATATTCTCGGCCGTGCCGGATGATCAGAGGCACGTCCCTGCGAGCAGGAGAGGGCCGAGTGACTATTTCTTGTGATGTGCCACGTTGAAGAATTGATTCGAGATTAAGAAAGAAATGAAGGAACGGGCGGGACAAGGCTTTTAGATGTAAACTAGCATACGGTTGAGATATCCATGACTTGTGGTATGAATGATAACGGCATGTATGGTTATTGGCTACTTAAACATTGGCCACCCAAGCATTGTTGGCCAAGTAGGTCCAATGGGTCGTTTGACGCGAACAGTTGGACGCCTCCGCGACTGACTTTGCGCGGATTGCCATTGTGGGCCGTCCCGTCCCCAGCCAACTTGTTGGACTTGCAATTTTTGTCACGACGTCAGGACACGCATGCACGGCAAGCACTTTTAAGACGAAGCAAGCTCCAAGCTGCGAGCATCAATAACAAGCGACCAGCCACCGTCATTGACTCCTCGACCTCGCCTTGTTATTCAATGCAGTCCGACATGGTTACGCAGTACAAATAGCTGAACGCAGAATGCCCAGGCGTCAGCCTCAGCCAGATCCAATCCAAACCGCCATCTCAACATGGCTCACTCCCCTCGGCCCCCCAACAGACAATGAGCCCACGGCCTGGAGGAAGTGTCTGTGCGATAATGCGCCCAAGAGGTTCACGATATACGAGCCCATGGCGCTCTTACCCGCCGGCAGCTTCGCCAATGCCCCGTGGACCGCCGAGCTCCAACGACGGAATGCCGCGACCACCAACTTACTCTGGGAGCTGATTCTGGGAGAACTCTCCAAGACTGGTCAATCCGCCCTGCGATTGACGCACCTGGCGGCCAACGAGGGCATTCCGCTGCAGAGCCGGGACGGGACGGGGGAAAACACACTACGCAGTCCGAGTGGCCTGCGAATTCTGTATGGTGACTTTGGCGCCGGTGCCCCAAGCAGGATTCCTCCTTCCGAGGAGGACTTTGGGAAGGCATTCTGGGTATCTGCCAAACAAAACGGGATATCCCAGACGTGGGCTCCCCGTTGGACAATGTTCAGCAGAGGCAACGTCAAGGAAAAGGCCCGCCTGCTCCAGTTCCCCGCGGCTTCTGGCAGGAGACGCGACGGCGACCAGTCACAAGATGCGTGGGCGGTGGATCTCTACGCCGGCATCGGATACTTTGCATTCTGTTACGCCAGACTGGGGTTCAGAGTGCTCTGTTGGGAACTCAACCCGTGGAGCGTGGAGGCTCTTCGCCGTGGAGCACGTCTGAATAATTGGAGTGTCGAGGTCGTCGAGGGGGACAGGCTGAAGAAACCAGTGGCTGAGATCGTGAAGAGTACTGCCGCGATTGTGGTGTTTGCCGAGAGCAACGAGAATGCGCGCTGGAGGGCGGAGGGCATGAAGAGGGAGGGGAGATGGCTGCGGGACGTACGGCATGTCAACTGCGGGTTGTTGCCTACGAGTAGGATGACGTGGGATGTCTCGCTGTTCCTGACGAGGAGCACGACCATGGGTGGGCGGGCGGCGTGGCTGCATCTTCACGAGAATGTGGGCGATGCTGAGATTGACGCGAGGAAGCAGGAGATACAGACACTGTTGGGGGAGAACCAGGATGAAAAGAGGTTGACGAGAGCGATTACGGTGGAGAGGGTGGAAAAGGTCAAGTCGTACGCACCTGGTGTATGGCATTGCGTGTTTGATGTGCATATTGCTGTCAAGTCTTGATGAGACACGTTGGTACACCTGTCCCCTTCCAATATCCATTATCCATGCGCTACCTGTATATTTGTTCCCGCCTGGCTCGTCTGTCGTTGTACGTCTTGCGCAAATTCAGTCAATATATATATATATATATATATATATATAATAAAATAAAAAATAAAAAAAAGTCCTCAAGTCCAACCAGAGGTGTCACTTGACACAGAGACCTTCGGCCACTTCTCTTCTCCTCCCCAGAGTTTATTGTCTCCGAAATTTGATAGGGATGTTCGCTTCAATGATGGACTTGGTGTCCATCGTCTCTTGTGCTTCCTGCGCTCTCTCCAATTCTTCGTGGTACTTGAAATGCTCAATGTCCTCGGGGTGCGTCAGATCCTCCAATTTTGTGTTTTCATCGTGGTACTTTTCCCAGTGGTGGATCTCGTACTCGTATTCGTCGTCGCCATGGTGGCCTGGCCCGGTGCCCATGTCAGGGAGCGTCTCGCCGCGGTCGATAAACTCCCTGAACTCCGTGCCCGAGACCACCCCGTCGTGATCCTGGTCGAGAATGCCCATGAGATGCTGGAGGACCTCTAGCTTCTTGTCGTGCGACATGTCCTTGTTCGACGGGTCCATTAGGCCGTAGGTCCGCATGATTTCTTCGCCCTGCCAGGCGCCGTCGGAGTTGTAGTCGTGGAGGGCGAAGAAGGCGCCCGTGTCCCAGGAATCAATGTGGTGCTCCTCTGTGGCCATGCGTGTCAGTCATCGAGGTGTCTTTCTTGTTGGACTCGCTGGATGGTCGTCCGGAGTGTCGAGCCGGGGGCGGCTGGTGAGCGTGAGACATACCTGCCATGTGCCTCTCCATCCAGGTGGCATCGTGGCTGACAATGGGCTTCTGGCCGTGGTTGCCGTGGGCGGTGGCCAAGCTCGAGAGGGCAATTGCTGATATCAAGGTAGCGTGCATGGTTTCGGCCCCGTGACGGGTGTGCAATCGGGCTCAGGGGGAACTCCAGTTGCCGGTAGCTATGTGCGACGTGCTGGTTGATGTCGTTGCGACGAAAGGGGCCGCCTTCGGCCGGTTTGGCTGGTGTAGCGGCGGTTCATGTCCAATTGACTTGAGAAACACGCGTCAAATGCGCGGCTCAACCCGTTCGACTCTGGCGGTGGCAACCGCCGGGCCGGGGATGGGCGCCACCTGCAGCCAATCAGTGCTTCGAATGCCCCAGATCGGGCTCCGTGCTTCGAGTGTGGAGGTCCGTTATCGATAATTGTCACACTCGCGGAGACTGTAGGTGTCTACTCCGTAATCCGTCCGTACTCCGTGACCTGACCTCGACATCCTCTCCAAGCGTATCGCAAGGCGTCCCAGTGATGTGACACCAACACCACTGGCTCTCGCAGCTGCAAGAACAAGTCCAAACCATCGGTCGTCATCATCTCTGGCTCAGCGAAGCCATTTGGCCGCGCATCTCGATCCCAACATTCCCCACCCGAAGCAACTTGCTCAGCCAACATGAGCAGACAAATCGAGCAGGCATTGTTATCGTTGATGCCGACATATGGCTCAGATCTTCCACCCTCCCTTGTGGAGCTGGCTGCGTCACTACTGGCTCAATCTCGACACCGGGCAAGCACACTCAAGGCAGAGGAAGAGATAGCTCGACAATATGCATGCTCCAACATAGCTTGCGACCGGTCAGTGTGTCGTGTTACCATGTCAACCACCACCATACACTTTGCTGACGCTCTTGTAGACTCAAGATGATTCTTGATTTACCACCCATCGAGCCCCGACCTCCGATCCCCCCACGCATCTACAAACGGCTGTATACCCATTTGGACAACATCTTACCGAATCCCACAACTACCCCAAGGTCAGCCCGAAAGCGAACTCCAAGCTCCAAGCAACGCGACCACGACACGCCATCAAAGTCACAGACCCGCCGAATACCATCGAGGGCAACTCCAACGAAGGAGGCAGCCCTGGCCCAGTTCCGGGCGTCATCAAAGAATGCCAGTGCCCCCGCCAAAGGAAACGATCTCGACGCACAAGGCTCGAGTGGCTACACACACCCTTGGATCCAACCAGTTATCCGATTCATGTGCGCCGAGTCAGATCTCAAACGGCTTGCGCCTACGGTTCTCGCCGGCATGGAGCATATCCTCACACAGGAGGGCCGACCGACACAAGACCAGTGGGTCATTCATCATGTAACCGACCTTGTTGCCGCCGTGTATTTCTTCGTCCTTATGCGTGTTCGATCGGTTGCATCTGGCGCCATTATTGATCGCGAGGGATATGTGCCCCTTCGAAAAGAGATTCTTGCTCTCGTAGCCAAAGCCAACCAAGAAGTTACCGTACCGAACGTAGATGAATCCGCTGCCTGGGAAGGCTGGAACGACCTCAAGGCTAGAGACTTTGACGCCGCAGTGGCCAAGGTCAACGAGAATGATTGGTTATCTGGCGACTGGTATGAAGGGATTGTTGATGTCATGAGCTGCACCACAAGAGCGGATGCAGACGTGTCAGACAATGGTGCCGAGAACTCGGAAGCTTTCCTGCCGACCCGACGTGCGGATACAATGCTCCAGGAACGATATGACTTGCTGAGCGAGGCTAAGAAATCGGACTACGTTGCGTGGCGTGGTACTATGCTCGACAAGATTGCACACGCAACACCCGCCGAAGTCGTCATGGAAATTGATTCTCTATAGCATTGATTCCCTATTTTTTAAAAAACAAAAACAAAAGACAAACAGTTCCAAGCAGTTGTTTTCTCTGTACTCTATTCTATCCGGTATGTCGGCGATTTATAACGCTTGTTTTTTTTCACTTAGGTACTCTTTGCCTTGGACGACCCCTTCTCCTCCTTCTCAGGTCTGCCATTCTTCTCCTTGGGCCTGCCATTCTCCTCCTTGGGTCTGCCATTCTCCTCCTTGGGCCTGCCATTGTTCTCCTTGGGCCTGCCATTCTCCTCCTTGGGCCTGCCATTCTCCTCTGGCCGGCCGTTCTTGTCCTTATGCCTGCCACCCTCGTCAGTGCCACCTCCGGGGTGCCACTTTGAGGCCACTTCCACTTTGTTGTTGTAGTTGGCAGTAGTGTCAATTCCAATCGTCTGCCAAAGCAAAAGGCCGTCCTGAACCTCACTGCCGAGGTAAACATACTTCATGATTGAATCATAGTCCTCGGCTGCTTCGTCACCAGTATAGCTATCCTGGCGGTTGTCTGTGACGGGTTGCTGATTCCGCATATACGGCTCGGTTTTCTCGACTTCGGTAATGAGGGCCTGGTCGAAGTATATCTGTCCAATGTGCGAAGAGGTACCATGTTCAAAGGTCCCGTTTGGCAGCATGGTAGCGCTGTCAGTGGACATGACATGGAAGTGGTTGGTTCGGCCGACGTAGTGGCCCGGGAAGATTGTGCTGAACTGCACCACGCCGTCATCATCTGTCTGCTGAATCCCGCGGCCGAAGTTGGTCTTCAAACCGCCTTGGAGTTCTGCCGTCACGCCGGAATAGACGCCAGTGGCGTTGGCGTGCCACAGGTCGACGACGAGGCCGGGAACTGCCTCGCACGTGTTGACGTCGATGAACTGGATATCCACGTGTGAAGCAACGCCCGTCTCTCCGTCCGTGATATTCGTCCGCAAATATTCGCCTTCGACATAGTACGGACCAATGATGGTTTCTGGGACCAGAACACAACTCGCGTTGGAGCCGAACAGACCGCCCAGAGGGTCGTTGAGGTCATGGCCCGCGGAAGTGTGGTTGTGCGAAACAGCAAGGTACTGTTCGAGCTCCTTGGGACCTCGACGAGCGGCGTCTTGAAACAGTCTTTGTCAACACGGTTACGCAAGAGACAGACGTCGAGGATGGCATCTTACGAGACTGGAGTCCTCTCTTTACACGCAGCTCATCGGCCCAAGCGGCACGACGAGCTACAGCTCGTTCATTGAGCGCCCTGGCGGCGGGGGAATCGGCACAGTCTGCGAGGCTTCGTTTGGCATGTGCTGCGATGCGACGAAGGGTTGCGGCTTGTGCGCTGCGCTCTTCTTCGGTTTCTGGGTGGCCGTACACGACGGCTGAGAAGGCCAAAGCCGCTGCGAGGGAGGGCAGTATCATGTTTGCTTTCAAGATGGAACGCAAACTGCCGTTGTCGATGGCGTACTATTTCGGACTAGTACTGGAACTGGACAGATGAGCCTGGTGTGGTCGTTCCTTGTCCTGCTGTTATACTCGCGGACGTGGTCACCAGAAGACGCTTCAAGGCCGAGACATGATTGAATTTGCGTTTGACGATGCCGTATCAGCCACGGGGCGACTGCGACATTGGCAAGGTTCGTCGTGGCATATCATGCGTATTTTACCTTTGGATCGAAACGACACAAGGCACTACTGCCACGCCCTGGACTCTCCTCCTGCGTGTAGGCCATTGTGATGTTCTTCCGGTCTCCCGAGCCAGGCCCATTGTCGGGTGAAGACTGCCTGAGTGGGTTTGCGAGTAAGTTGGCCACGTGAAGTGTCGCGCTGTTCTTCCCTGTCCGTGCGGACGCCTTGACCGGAGACACCGAGTGCGGCAAGAGAAGGAGCTTGGCCTGTGACGTGTGGAATACGTAAAATGGTGGCCGTTCAACTAGTCGGTGTATGAGCATTGCCGGTTTGCGCAGCTACTGTAGACATGACACAGAGGCGATTGATGCTCTTTGCGGGACGGGCTACACAGTTGGCTTTGTGGTTGGTGGTTCGGGGATTCGGGTGTTTTGGCGTTTTGGCGTTTTGGCGTTTGAAATAAAGGATGGCCGCGGTTTCAATTAGCCATTTTGAGCTGAGAAAGTTGCCCCTCGGACAATACTGGCGGGCGTGCGGAGGCGGACTCGTTCCACGTCGGCCGAGGCCCAAGATGGCCTCGGACCTCTTGATTTATTATGCGCACACTACACAGCGCGACGAGCAGCGTAGAATGTTAATTTGGAGGACCGAGTGTTGGGAGCACCTCGCTACAGCCAATCGTTACTACAGCGTATACAGTGCTCCTGGTCCGACCAGCTGGGTTAGCTGAGCTTTCCCGGAACAAAAGGATGTCCAGCACTCAGCCCGCCGCAGACAGCCCACGCCTGGCCATTCACGTAGCTGCTCTCGTCGGTGCCCAAGAACAGGGCCACCCTCGCAATCTCGTCTGCGTGTCCGCCTCTTCTCGTAGGGTTCAGCTGCCCAATCTTCCCTTGGTTGCCTCTTGCCTGGTACACGGGGGCCGTCATGCCCGTCTCGATAAGACCAGGGCAGATGGCGTTCACGCGGACCCCCGTCCCGGAGAGCTGGTAGGCTATAGTCTGGGCAAGAGATACCACAGCCGCCTTGGAGGCCGAGTAGGGAATCGACCCGGCATTGGCACGGATTCCGGCCACGGAAGCCGTCCCGATGATGGAGCCGCCTGACGTGGGCTTGGATGGGGATGTTTTCATCATGGCAGGAGCAGCATGTTTCGCGGCCAAGAAGACACTATGTCCTGGTGTTAGCGCGTGCCACGTGTCCTCGGAATTTAAGGTTCTTGATCTTGAGCACGAAAATGAAGGAGGGGGAAGTCAAAAGAAGTCGTTCCAGCGATTCAGGTGGCCGGAAAGAGGGTGGATGGGGGCGTGGCCATGTTGGCAAGACGAAGCCCGGGTACCTTAGAGTGTTTGTTCTGAGAACCTCCATGAAATCAGAGTCCGAGAACTCGGTGAAGGCGACGTGAAGGCCCGTGATGCCGGCATTCGCAAAGAAGACGTCCAGCCGGCCGTATCGCTGGAGGGCGTCGTCCACCACGGCCTCGACTCTGGCCTCGTCGGCCGCATCAAACCGCCAGGCGTGGACGTGCACCCCCGGATACAGACGCGCGATCTCCTGTTGATGCGCGGCGAGATTGGTGTCGGCAAAGTCGCAAATGTAAACTGCCTTGGCACCGTTTTCTGCGAACTGGTGGGCCGCTGCGCAACCGATGCCCAGGGCCGAATTTGCTCCTTGACCACCGTGGTCGGTGTCATGTTAGCTTTCCGGAGGCATTGGTGCGGCCGCGAGGCGACGTGGTGTGTGTGTGGATGACGCGGGCTGATAGCAGCGGGATCGTACCTGTGATGATGACGACTTTGTCCTGTGCTCGGGGGCCGTTGGATTTGCCGGCAACTTTGGTGATGGGTGGGAGGGTGGTTGACGACGGCTTGAGCTGCTGGCCGATGGCGTTGATTCTGCTTTGAGCTCGGTCTGCCATTTTTACCCCTCCGGTTTCAGGAGGTGTTGGAGTTGCTTTTTTTTTTCTGGGAATCACGGGTATCGTCAAGTATGCCTGCTGGCCACGAAAGTCAAAATCCGTACGCTTGTTTCTTGGTCAATGGTGACAAGTACCAGGGCCACTCGCTCTCTGAGCGGTGATGATTGGTGTGAGAGCACTGAGGTCTCTTTGCTCCTCGGTCCCGCCTGCATAGACGCCGCGCTTGCGGAGGGAGAGGAGCTCCAACAAGGGGAGCGAGATGAGAATGATTTTTTTTTTTTAATGAAAGAGATGGGATTCGGATCAAGGATTTGTAGCCGGGTGATCCGGGGCCGAGGTTCGAGCATGTTAGTTGACCCTTGGCGACCGAGACGCGAACGGCTTCCTGCATGAACCTGCGGGGGAATGATACGCTGATCGCTGGACCCCCTTACGTAATCCCCCCATGTGGACCGTGCGCTTCAAAGTACGTACACATGCCGCAAGGTGCACACGGTACGGTAACTAATCGCTGCTCCCCAAGCTTCGACTGTTCGATTTTTACATGGCCCATGTTATGCAGACCGCGTCGCTGGTGCCGGATATGATGTTCCCCGCCAAGGCTGCATCCAGGCCGTCATTGCAGGCAAAGGCAGTAAAGGTCGCTCCAAGCGCTGCCACTCGTGCGAGGCGGGCAATCATCCTCGACGGCCTTCGAATAGCTTCACCCGCGCCTAAACAGGGGTGTGTGCCGCATAGTGCGCTTCCAGCTGTGTGGAGCCATGCGTCTCTCATTGCAAGTCGTACACAATTCGCTCCCTTGTAGCCTGGATTAGGCTCTGTGAAGATGCGCATCTTCCCTCACATCGCTTTGCTGAAGTGCCCGCTTGTGTGCGATACGAATCCAGACATGCCAACTGGCTCATCCGGCCAGTGAATCCGGCAACTGTAGCCAGCTGCCACCACTGCATTTCAAGGTTGATCAGGAAGGAAGTTCTTGGGAGGCCATCGCGCCTTCCGTTTGTCTCCTTGGACTCCCGATATATCTGGAACCAGGTGGAGGAAATGCGGCTTCAACCCTCGCATACACACCGCAAGCCTTTTTGAACATCAGCTGCCAAGCTGTCTCAACATTGACGCATAAGCATTGTTCTGGATCGCAATCCATGGGCCATGCATTCCCTCGGTCCCCTCGTTCCTTGTGCCCTGTGCGGCTTCACCATTGGCAGCTACAGCATTGAACCTGCACCTGCAGTCTCTTGGGTCAATCAATTCAGAATCTGTAAGCCTTGATGCCGTGCTTCACATGTCATGGACGAGTTGCCCTAATCTCAGTATGGTAGTGTACGGGGACAATACCGATATCAAGATCAGCGGCGTCGGGCTCTATAGGCCTCTTGATTGCAGTGGCTTCAAGGTGCCTCTGCATCCGGAATGTCGCTGGGATGAAAAGGGGGCGCGAGCCTCGAAAAGGGTGCACATCGGCGTGCTCGGTCAGTTCTCCGATCAATCATCTACACGGCTTCCCTTTGCATGAGGCTTGCTGGTCTCTGTTGGGCCAGACCTCTTGCCCTCGACCAGTGTCATTGAACAGTCTTTTCAACCTTTTCAAATCGTTACCCTTCCCACACCAAGATGTTTCTCGGGACCTGCTTCTCAAATCTGGCCTTCATAATGGCAGCTTAATTATCAACAATCGCGACGACTACTATCCTTGGGAGGAACGATTCGGTTATCTCGACCCGGATTCCAAACTTTTTCGCATCGCCAGTCAAGATCCGTACAGCGTTTCCGAGATCAGGCAGCTTCTCATCCAGGGGAAACGGTCTCCGCAGTGGGCTAGAAGAGCTGCTGTTTCGCATCGTCAGCCGACGTCAACCGACTGCTTTGCCCTTCTCCCTGAGACGCTGTGCCTCATCATCGCGTCCTTGCTGCCGACTGCAGATGCTTTGAGGGCTCGTCAAGCATCTCGATGCTTTGTTTCGGCATATTACAGCCACGACTTCTGGCGGTCTAGGTTTTCGGCAACCGGCGAACGCTTTTGGCTCTTCGAGTCCCAGGCATGGGATCGGCGTCTGGACTGGCGTAGTATATATCGTCACACAAACAGAGCACTTTGCGGTCCCGGTCTGCGAAACAGGACAAGAATTTTGGACTTGATTCAGCAGGTCTTGGGAGTTCTGTCATCCACATGGAATGAGACGCCAGATTCATCACGACTGTCCCAGGAAACTTCGTACTGGCTTGTGGCCAGCGCCAACCTGAATGAGAGCTTTCTTGCAGCCGGCCTGACCAGACACTGTCGACAAGTCACAGAGGTACAAGCAAAATTACCCCCTACGCCTTATCAGTTGGCGTTCTCTACTACGCGACTTGGAGGTGTTCAGTATATAGCTGGCATCCGCATCTTGCATCGAGGATCAGGTAGAGGTGTGTGTTTGGGCTTCAGTACGCAAGAAAAAGAGATATATCTGAACGTTGCAAAACCTATTTTAGGGTTCAATTTAGCTGTAGGAGCTACTGGGATTCGAGGTATACAATGCGTCCTGAAAAATGGGAAAATGGGAAAATGGATCGGAAGCCTTCATGATTCCCCAAGGACACAGCGACTCGTAGCGTCTAATCCAATAAAGGCCATCAAAGCGGGATTTGACGTACGTGCGGTAGGAGCCCGGCCCATTTCTGCTTTCTTTGCTGAGCGACTCAGAAGTCTCCTAACTAGACATCTACAGAGCTTCAAAATGGTCAGCATGGCAATCATGGAGGATAAAGTCCCTTCTTCTTTCCAAGAACAGGCTGCTGGGGGAAGCTCCTCATTGAGGCATTCAGCTTTCTGGTACCCCCGAGCCCCGGACCCAGGCCTCGATCTCAATGATGATTGTTTCACGGCAACAGAATCATCGAATGCAAAATATCAGCCTCTCTGCTGGACAGTGTTTGGAGGTCGCAACGGATCGTATCTTCGCAACTTGACAGGACTGTCTGTCACATGTTCTCCATTGATCCGTGGCATCGCATTCCACTACGCAGTACATACTCCAGAGAAGACGGGAACAGTAGGGAAATTCAGGGCTAGGCCCAACGACAGCGTCACGTATTTCTCTATCGACGGGCCCGGTGGAGAAATAGTCGACACCATCGAAGTATTTGTCCAATGCAGCGGCGGCGATGCCATGAGAATGGTCTATAACGAGGACATACTCGTAGCTTTCAGGGCAAGCTTCACTGCCTGGCAAAATTCCTCGGCCAGTAGAAACCACGGCTAACAAAATCTCAATTTGTAGGTGTCGACGAATCGCAAACGATGCTTTCACGTCGGAAAGCACGAAAGCCACTTGTACGGCCAAATTTCGAAACGATTGATAGCCGTCTCTCCAGGGTCTACCATAACGGGCCTATATTGGAGTCAGGTACGGACGTGAACCGGCTCTGTGCAATGGCGCCGGATGTCGCTAACATGACTGAAGCATCTTGGCAGAATCATAGCTCTGGGAGCCATCTCGGAGATTGTCGGCATCTAGAGGGCTTTTTCTTATCCGCCACGCGTGAGAATCGCAGCAAAATCTGGACTGCCCGCATCGCACTCCTAGAAACGTAGGAAAAGTCTTCCATCTTGGGGGAAGGGCTAGCTAAAGAAGTGCCGGGTGAAGTGTGTAATATGGCGACGACCTGTTGTCCACCATCGGGCATTGGGGGCCTTGTTCCGTAAATATTTGACGTCAACAAGGCTGTTTTAGCTCACATCGTTCGCGGGGGGAGGATAGGATGGCTGCCACGTCGATCAACGCAAACCCTCGCGGATCAATGTAATCAAACATTTTCAAGTCAAAATTTGCAGACTCGCATTGCCTGCTCTCTCTCTCACTGTCGAACCCACAACTAGACGCACAGTGACCAAGGTCCTAGTTACTGGTGAGCAGTGAATTGGAGAGCCTGGCCGCGGGAACGTAGAGACTGGCAGTCAACAAAGGAAGATGATGCCTTTGACCAAGTCAAGAGGCCGGGCACCGAGGTGGTTTTGCACACGGCCAGCCCGTTCCACTCCAAATGACTAAACCGTGTACGCACGTCCCGACTACCGAATTGTTGGGCATGGAACGGACCAGCTTGGAGTCGAGCATCACCGGCTTGATGCGCTCGCTCAAGGAACACGGTAATTAACAAGGAACCACGGGGGACCAGGGACGAACAGGGCATGCATGGGATTTCCCCATCGTGATTAGCGTCGCTGAACGAACCCCATTCCATCATACTACGTAGAGTGAAAGATGTTCCGTCCAACAAAGTGTCGTGCCATACATTTGTGGCATACCGTACCCTGCAGTCCTGGCGTGGTCCAAGTCCAAGCCAACGCTGTGCACCGCGAGCCAATGCAGTCCATGTGCCTTTTAAATTATGCCCATACACCAATGCGTACATGTCTCATGTTCCATTACTTCGTGGCCTCTCTCAGCGTCAAAAAAAAATCTCACATCGTTATCAGACACAAACCTTCCCTCTGATGCTTCCGAGTGCATCACCTCTTCTTGAAGGGCGAGTACGTGCCGCCCAATCTCTCAATGTCGCTCTCATCTAGTCGCGGCCTCTTCTCCCTCCTCTCCTCCACGACAGGCGACCCAATGGCTATCCCAATCTCCTCCGGACGGACATTGTCCGTTTGCGAATCCAACGGCGGCGACAGGGGGTTGATTTGCCAATACCTGGAGGGCGGCGAGGGGAGCGCCCGCGTTGGCGGCGGCCCCGGCGACATGAGGCCGTTGACAGGACTAAAATGGCCGCTCTTTGGCGTCCGCGGGGGACTTGCATTGGTCCCTTGAAGGGTGGATGTTGTCGACGTTGACGCGGCAGGTCTGTGTGTCTTTACTGTCGGTGTTGTTGTTCTCACGGGGAAGAGGGTGTACTGATGACGATGACCTGCTGCTCGTGAGTCTGGCGACCCATAATCCTGGGTCTGGGCAGGTCCCGGTCCCGCGCAGCAAGACGGCACGTCTTTGGCGGAAGGTATATTTCCCAGACTCGAGGGCTTCCCCCAGCGCGTGTGATGGAAGTTCCGTGAGGGCCTGGCGTCGATGGACCCCTCGCTCCTGGTGGCCTGATGAAACTTTCTCTCGCCGAGTCTCGGAGGGGGCCTCAACTCGTCTAGGCCAGCGTCGTTTCCGCCGCTGCCTGGCATTTCGGTCCCCCTCGTCGTTGGCGATGGCGAGGTTGTCTTACTGGGAAAGGGTGACACGGCGCCTGGCGAGTTTAGCGCTGTCAGACTGACGGCAGCACTGGGGCCCTTTTTGTCGCTCTGGACGGGAGAGGCAGGCTGAGCTCTCCTTCGCCGCCGGCGGAGCTGCATGTTTATAAGGATGATGGCCATGCCGACTGCTACGACGCCGGCAATTGTACCCAGCACAATGGTGACAATGACGGCTGTCGATGTAGACGTGTTGGACGGTGTACTTGAGAGGGTGGTGGCGGGGGTGACGGTGCTGGACAGCGGAATGCCAAGTGAAGGGTCTTGGACGTCTGTGCCGCCAGCGAGAGTTGGCGAAGGGGGAGAGGAAGAGGGAGGTGGAATCTGGCGTTTTTGAAGGGCGACGGATGGTATTTGCGTTGGCTGTTGGACGGGTGATGGAAAACTTTTGCCATGTTTGCTTATCGTTGTTGGGCCTGGCAACGTCGTCAACTTACAAGGGTTGGCGAGAGCGGTGTGATGATACGGTGACGATGATGATGATGATGATGGCGGCGGTGGTGTTGGTGCTTGCCGCAATTCCGTATCCGGCGAGAGTCCAGTACCCGGCTTACGAGCCGAGCGGCCGGAGAGGCTAATCAGACAGATCTTTTGTTAGACGGTTCCGGTCACGGATGGGTGGGATGTGATGGGATCATGGGGTTGAGCAGATGTCAACGAACCGCTTCGCGATGGCAACGGGTGCTCGGACAGGCGTATCGCGCACCATTGAGTTCAGTTGACGGTCGCAGGAGTCGCAGTCTTGTCGTTGAGTGGAACAGCTTGCTGGGCGCGCACTGCCGCTGCCGCTGCCGCTGCCTCTTCCACTTCCACTTCCACTTGTTCTGCTCTCGGTTTTGTCGTGGCCTCGACGTTGTTGGTCGTTGCATCCGCAGACGCACTCGCACTCGTGCGCACCAGCACCAACACAACTGTTGACATGGCCTGGCGTTGGCGAACAGGGAATGCCGCAGCATCGACAGGCCTCGCTCATGCCATGACGACCAATATTCCAACGGGCTGGCGATGGCGCTCGCACGACGGTTTTGCTGTCCCTCGGACGACGACGCATGAATTCGGACGTGGCTGAGGCTCGACTCCGCCCACCCGACGCTGCTCTTACACACCCACATGCGCAGGGATGAGGCCTTGACCTGACCCTGGCCATCGCGTCATGTTCCCGGATGACAGATTTCGCCTCCGCGACGTGGTGAGCACCGTCGGATGCCATCTCAAGTCCAGAGGCAAAGAGAGGCTGGGGGAGGCAAGGGAAGGCAAGGGAAGGGGGCTCCCCCAAGCTACGCGCTTTTCTTGTTTTCTTTTTCCTCTTTGCCCACTGTTTTGAATGCGCTCTGCTCCCTCATGCCGTGACAGTAGATAGATATCCCAATGGTTGGGGGGGTCCACAACGTGTCATCAAGACCGAGTGACTGACGAGTTTTCAAACCGAAGAAGCATCAAAAATGCCACTTCCGGGTTTGAGACGAGAAACCGCACCTGTTTCCCGGCCGCCGACGGGAGTGGCCCCGGAAGAACAACGAGGCAGATGGATGGGTAATGCTATGAAAGTTGACAGAAAAACAGGGGGAAAAATTGTAAAGGATCAGGTAAGGATTACCTGGTTGGCAATTCAACGCGCCGGATGGCTCGCTTTATTGCTAATTTCCAGGAATATCAGAGCCGCATGGATATCATACACGGGGTGGCCGGCCAGGGAACGGCGGACGACTCGTAAGCCCTCCCGCAACCCGCCTTTTATTACTTGTTAATTTTTTTTTTTTCGCCCGCCGAGTCAGTGCGATGGTTAACGCGTGGCAGGACGCATCATTCGCAGGGAGGGATCGTAAACAAATGATTTGCCGTGCCTGTTTTCCTGACGATGCCCTGAGGGTTTCGCCAAGACGGGTTCTTTGCGCAGGCTTGCGGAGGATGGGATCAAGGCAACAAGGGCACAGCTTTTTTGTCCCTATCCTATAGTGTGCCACAAGGAGGGGGAGGAGGCGGGAGGGAGGAGCAGGATAAAAAGACACGGAAGCATTGAACGCGCGCCCTCCGAGGGAGAGGTAAGAAATCAACAAGAAACGAAGGCAAATGGGTCTCTGTACGGCATTTGATTCATGACCTCCAAGCGAGAGACATTGGAGGTCAGTGACGATGGGTAAATATTGTCGCACGACATGCAGCGTGCCGCTCAATACTCTTCTTTTCGTCTGCCGCGGGATATCTCTTGGCCTGCTTGACCGCAGGAGAGAAAAAGGCTCGTGCCGTAGGGAGAAGCAAAGAATGAAACACCAGACCTAAGACGAGATGGCGAGAGACGGAGAGAGAGAGACGGAGAGACGGAGAGACAGAGACGCAGTGTATAACGTACTCGCCCACACATGGGGGTCGTACAGAGAGTTATAATCCTGCCGTCCCCCGGCACGCCCAAATTGCCCATGTAGCTTTGAATAACGAGCCCTGCCAATGCACAACAGACAAGTGTACCGACAGACATGGCCAAGTTGGCAGCCATGTCGCTGTTCCTTCTCGTTTTTGGCGGTTAGGCAGCCCAAGGGGAGCGAGCGACGCATGCAAGTCAGCCTTATGTGTGAAATGAACCCCTGCGTCACAAGCAAAAGCAATGTACAGACTTGTCCGCCCAAGTACGGAAGCACGTACGGAGTATGCGTGATGATTGCGGAGTATCCCCTACCCTTTTTTGCCTGCAAATATCTTGTCTTCTGGGTATTTCTCCGATTGTCTTTGCCCTTTTTTTTATCCTTCTCGGCCTGCAAATGCAAGAAACCAATTCAACTGACACACGATGCCGTTGTGGCGTTCAACAATTCCGTCCCCCATGCCCCAGGAGATATCCAGAAACCCGCCACGCCCAAAGCGGAAGAAGAAGAAACGGCGACGGCGACGGCGACGGCGGCGGTGGCGGTGGTGGCCAAGGCTAGCAACGTCGAAGAAGAAAAAAGCCATCTTCTTACTCCGTACTGCCAGGGCGTAACTATAATATGCCGTGCGTACACGGGCAACGCGGGTTACCTCAGAGGACAGAGGGTCAACACCAAAACTCGACCCCACGATAATGGTGGGTTGCACAAAACCGTAGACGGGAAGGAGATGAACGCTGCAAAGCTGGACAACAGCCCAATCAAGGTCCCGAGCCGAGCACACTCGTCGCACGGCCATGTGCCCGTCTTCAGAGACAAAACAGGCGCCAATCACGCCTCTTGCTTCGCGAGCCCGCCAGCCGCTTTGATCCCTGCGTCTTCTTGTCTTTGCCCTGTCATCATGGTAGTATTTTGCCCGAAGGGGGGAGAGGAATAGTCAAGCCCTACGGAGTACTGGCAAATAGAGATAACTCAGCCATGTGCGGCCAGGTCGCACGACCCAATCGGGGCACAATGGGTGTCGCAATCCGCAGCTACAACCAGGTGCTTCGTACCCTTTGGCCGTGCGAGGCGCTAGGCGCGAGGCCTGGCACATTGCAAATACGCGACGGACGGGACGGGAGACGGAACAAGGAACATGTACGTATGACATGGGTAACAGATGTGACTGTATTGCGCATACTCCGTACGTGCGTCATGTCATGTGGGTGAGTAGTGAAGAGGTTTGTGAAGCTCGAGTTTTTTATTTTTTTTAAATAAAAAAAATGATAAAAAAATTAAAAAGAAAGGGCAAAAAAGGTTGGCAAGGAAGGAAGAGAGAGAAAATAAATGTGCGACCTGCAGACTCGCGTAGACGTCAATTCCTCTCGGTCCTTCCGCTTTCGTCTCCAGCTCAGCCTGATCGGGTTGTTTTTGCAGCAAGAACGAGAGTCGAGGCTGCCGCAGGTGTCTTGACGTGGGTTCGGATGCCGGGGGTGCCACGACACGTATCGCCGCCGACCAAGAGATGGCCTCTGAACACGGAGTACTCCGTACATCGACATGTCGGCACATGATTTGGGTTTGGGTAGAATGCTTGCAGTGCCGCCCCCGTCGCCCCGTCATTGTTCGGAGCTTTCTTTCGAGGCCGCACCGTACCGTCATTGACCTTTCCGTAAACTCGGTGAGTGGCCGTCAAGGGGGAAATCACGAGTCAGGCGAACAATGCCCACTCCGCCGACTCCCACGCGCCATCACTCCACTCTTCATCGCAACAGACGACAGACACGTGCAGAGGCTCGTCGACGCAAGAGAATATGCATTGAATGGTATATAACCCAAACCCGTAAATGTACAAGGGCGCAGCCGCCAACATCCGCCAGAGACCGAGTCCGAGTCCGAGCCCCCCACAACTTCTCCTTTGCTCTGCCAACAGACATGACACGAGCAGCCATCCGTCATCTGCTTGTTGTCTTGGCTGTCCTTCCACCTCGTCCACGGCCCCTACTTCACCCGCTTCAACTGTCAGCTCCTGATGAATCCGCCTGCACTGGCGGAGGTGCCTCAGACCCCGACGGCTGCGGATGCGGCACGTTACCCAGACCTGGTGGCTGGGGTGTGTCCGCGGGAATGGGCAGTACCAGAGGGCCCCTGGGAACAATGCTTCGCCCCGGCAGCTTCTCTCCTCGAATCACAAGTTCCACCTCGTTCTTGTCCAGAGTCTCATACTGAACAAGAGCTTGCGCCAAAAGATCGAGCTCCTTTCGCTTCTCGGTGAGGAGCTTTCTCACGTCCTCGTATGATTTCTTCAGCGTCTTCTGCACTTCTCCCTCGATCATGGCTCTAGTTTCAGAGCTGAGATTTTCATACCTCCTGCCGTACTCCACGGGTCCCAGTGCGTTTGACATGCCAAAGTTGGTGATCATCATGAAGCCCAAATCAGTGGCCTTCTCCAAGTCCTACAGAGAGCACCTAGTCAGCAAGCATGGATGCGAAAATGCTCAACGGCGGACCAACTTACATTGGATACTCCAGACGTAACTTTGTCGTCGCCATATCTCATCTCCTCAGCCATCTTCCCACCAAGAAGCACGCGAATGTTTGACATGTACTCGGCAGCAGTGTACGAGTACTTGTCCATTTCCGGCACGTGGGCAGTATGTCCCAATGACGGGCCCTTGGGCAGGATGGTGACCTTGTACAGTCTGCTGGAGCTGTCCTTTTCGAAAAGCTGAACAAGCGCATGACCGGCCTCGTGATAAGCCGTCATCTCTTTTTCCTTTTCCGTAACAACCATTGACTTCCTCTCGGCTCCCATGGTGACCCGATCAAATGCCCAATCCAGGTCTTCCTTGGAAACCACTGTGGCTCTGGCTCTGCTGGCTCGAAGGGCGGCGAGGTTGAGCATGTTTTCCAGTTCGGCGCCAGATCGTCCGGGGGAGCGGGCAGCAATGGCATCCAAATCAACGTCCAGCGACGTCTTGATCTTCTTGGCGTGGTGCTTCAGAATAGCGAGGCGCCCACGAACATCGGGCAAGTCCACGTTGATGTGACGATCGAATCGACCTGGTCTGGTCAAAGCCTTGTCCAGCAGGTTTGGCAGATTGGTAGCGCCCATGATGATAATCTTGGTGTCTTGGTCAAATCCATCGAGCTCGGTAAGGAGCTGGTTGAGAGTCTGCTTCGCGTGCGCCTGATCTCGAGGGTTCCTCTTGCCACCAATAGCATCCAGTTCATCGATAAAAATGATGGCAGGAGACTTTGCCTTGGCCGCACCAAAGAGTTCGCGCACACGCTTGGCTCCCACGCCGACAAAGATCTCGTCAAATTCACTGCCAGACATGTAGAAGAAGGGCACCCCGGCCTCTCCGGCAACTGCTCGAGCAAGCAACGTCTTTCCGGTTCCGGGCGGACCAACGAGCAGAACACCCTTGGGGAGCTTGGCGCCTAGGTCAGAGAAATTTTCGGGGTTCTTGAGAAATTCAACAACCTCCTGCAGCTCCTCCTTGGCCTCGTCGCATCCATGGACGTCACTAAATCGGGTCGTCTGCTTCTCTGCCTTTACCTCTGAGTCCGTCTTGGCTCCGGGTCCCCGTCTGAAGGTGCTCAAGGTCTCAATGAGAATGGTGACGGCGGCAAAGCAGAGGTATGTAACCACGACAAACGTTGCAAAGAACTTGACCCAGCGGAAGATGAGTGACCGTGTTGACTCTTGAACAACCACGTGAATTGGCTCTCCTTTGCCTCCTTTGGCGCCATGGCCATATGGGCCACCGGCAGCGGCAGCATTTACGATAGCTTGCTCTTGCGTAGTCCATTGTCCTCTAGCATATCCAGTTGTGGCAGCCAGCCCACCGGTGGCATTAGTGCCTGCATTGAGTGCTGTCAAGGCTTTCTTGTACGCGTCTTCGGTTGCTGCGTTTGTTGCGAACCGTCCTGACTGGTAGCGTTCCACTAAGATTCCAGGCATATTTGCACGAAGCAGGAGCTGATAGAAGGCATTCTGCATGTTGGCATTGCCAGCGTTACGGTTTGCCGACTCTTCAACAGTGGCTAGCTGATTGCGGGAGATTCCGTTTGAGCTGCCAAATCCTGTTCCAAAGCTTCTTCGTTGCATTGCCACAATGTTGAACATGGGTCTCTGAATACTCATGGAAGCAAAGGGCCGCCACTGCGCCCGTGGGACAAATCCCTTTGGCTGGAAGTAGGGTTGGCGCAAAACGGGATTCGCGGCGCGCAAGCCAACTTGAGAGAGGTTGGACACGGTATTCCAGATATTCATCGACATCATGCCCTCAGGCAGCGGGGAGGGGATGCATAGTGACGTATTGGCATCTCGCATAAAGTCTGGCAATTGTACCAACGATGGCTTGGATGCAGCTTGCTCAGCAGCTTGGGGATCGGATACGGGTATCGTCTCCAGGCGTCGTGTCGGAAACGTCGCATTTCTCCAGGGCGTCGCTAACGAGTTCGCAATGGATGGCCATGCCCCTACGGCGGCTGACGCCATGGACTGGTGGTCTCCGAGTCAGCGGGTAATGATGCTGGTGACAATCGCTCGGCTCCTGCCTGTCCGACGTGAACTTACCGGGACGCCATGGAAAGCCATCGCCCTCGCCAAGACCGCGCGGGGATGATGACGACGCGTATATCAAGTAGCAAAAAGGCGCCTCTGCGACCCCGGAATGGAACAGAGATGGAGAACAGCGAAAAATGCCGTCGCGAGCGCTTTGTTCGGGTGGATGATCAGCGCTCTCAAGCACGGCGGTACCCGCAAAGAACGGACTGCAAGCTAATGAGGGACGACCGTTGAGGTTAGCCGCTAGATATATTTCTCACGTTGATGCACTCATCGTGCAGGTCGCTGTACCGATATCGACGCTGTGTCCCTCAGGGCGTGGGTGGCTGTAATAAGTAGTGATGTCGGCTTGCCACTTCGTCTAACGCCGACGAGAAGTTGTCGTGGGACCCATTTTTTCTTTTTGCCCCTTGGGTGGAAGCCTGTTCTTAGTCATCAACTGGAAGCTGGATGATCCGATCCCGTAGTGGACTGATGGAACCACGTGGCACTAATAAGCGCCTCTCGCCCGAAAATGGGAAACGGGAAACAGAAACCCGTGAATAGTTCTTTGATTGCTTAGCCGGGGGGGCACCATGATTGTATCACAACCAGAGGCGTATAATTGCGGATCATATGAATGCTTTCCAGACATCTACTCGTCCGAGAACACGGTCCTCGTCTCGTCCTCCACGCGCGCCGTCTTCTGCCTTCGACACCATGACGAATGAGCGTCCATCTCAACCCGGTCGGGAAGACGCCGCAGCCTGACAGCCCCCTCGGGGTGGTGATGTCGGGGATGCCGGCGACGCCGTCGGGAGATTCTTACAAGATATGACACTGTCACGGGATATAGGGGCCATCACACATAAAAAGTGGCCTCTGGCTACGCCATTTTTTTGTGGGACACAGACAAAATATCCAAAGTGCGACTTCAGGGACTTGCGCAGAACATCGTCGTTCAGTCACCGAAGCCGGCGCAAGCATATCCACGTGTCCGTAACGACAAAAGCCGCCGCTTACGTGTCGCAGGACCTGGGGCAAATCCAATCCCAGTTGCGTTTACAAATAGAGGCGCTCTGTGTTTCTTTTCAAAAAGTTCATGCTCCTAGTTCAACAAACGGCAAGGGAAGGATCTTCCAAGGACGCACAAGACACGGGAAGCCGTCAATGCCGGGTTTTCAAATATGTCCTGCTGTCCGACAATGCTACAACGATGCTTCTCAAACGCCCTTTGGACCCTGCCTTCGATTAAACCGACAGCTCTTTTGCCCAACCTCCCAGTCATGCGACATCCCAGCGCAGTCGAGGCTACTGAAGGGGAATCCGACCAAGCAAAATATCGATGCATCCATGCTGAAAATAAGGTGAACATATATGTACTTGCTTGCATCATCTCTGGCATCAATATCGTAACGTACTGCCGCTTCTGTTCAACGTGACGCTCACTATAACCAAGGTCGATCCGCGTTTCAACCCGCTAGGCTAATGCAGCGAGTGACATGCCGATGGTGTACTTGAAAGGAAAGAAACGGAAGCTTCTCCCCGCTTGAGAAGAGTAAATCGTAAACCGTAAACCATAGATCGCAGGTAGTGGGTGTACGTCATTCTAATGTGAGCCCATATTGGATGTGTAGGTTAAAAGGACAACTTAAAGTCAGGAACGGGGGCCGTTACTTTGAATCGTAGAAGAGAAAGAGCGCCCGATAGGTAATTTCATACGAGAGCTCGCGGGCGATACGAATAGGAGATTAGGAATTCACGTATATAGCTAAGCTAGGAAGGATGAAGGATGAAGCCAAGCTTAAGTACGGCAGAAGGCAATGTCTGGTTCGGCCTTCTCGCCGATAGTTGGTCAGCATATAGAAACGAGAATGAGACAAAGGAAGCAATGTTCATCGTCTACCTTTCCTGTTCGCCCATTAATGATGCAGACAGCAAGTAACTATTGTTCGAAGCAGAGATACAACAGATAATAACCTCCCACTGTCAAGGACGTTGGCATTGATTTTTGGCAGTGCGGTCTTGACATTGTGCAAGGTGTACGACAGGGCTCGGGCATTTGCAGCTCTCACCAGCAAAGACGAGAGTCCCGATTGCGAGTTACAACAAGTCCAAGAGGGCCAGCCAACGGTGCGCAAGTAATTGCCGGCAGGTCTATTTCTACCACGACGTGGAGAGAATTCACAACTAAATTTGGTGCACATTGTTATGACATATTTCTTTGTTCAATTATGTTTAGTAAGTACCTTGTATATCAGATCGTACGCGTCCAGTAAATATGGCATTTCCATCCAACCTTTCATGAATTCAATGTTCATAGTGGTTTGAACCTCCCTCTCTTTAGACAACTTGATGGGATTGCCAGCAGAAACTACATGTAACGAAACAAGTGAATTGAAAAAAAAAACCATTGGTTCTGTAGATCCCAAGGTGGTATATCCGCCCCAGAATTAATGTGCAAGTATCAATCAGGTGCCGCCCAAGTAATGAACATTTAGTGACTATTTGTACAGGAGGTATATTATTCGGAAAGTCCAGAACAGGAATGTATACAATGTCGGGTGTCATCACCAAGCAAGACTATGTGGTTTCGGTTTCACATCGTCTCAACTCGACAGCTAGGCAGTTGCATGGAAGGGTCGTCGAATTCGATCTTAGGGCCAGAGTACATGTCATATACTCCAGAGCCAAAGGCGGGAATTTGTCCAATCGTAGCTACCTCAACAGGGGGTTGGTAGTGATAGCCCCATTCGTTCTCAGGCTGTGATCCCTGCGTTTGTGGCATCTGCTGAGTATATGGGACCATGTTGTTTTGCGAATCGACTGAGGCGGTGTCTGGCAAGCTGTAGGCAGGAGCGGCAGGAGGTTGATGAGTGTATATGCTGTCGTGAATAGCTGGGCTATGTCCAGATGCAGGAGAGAAGCTGGCCGGACTGCTGCTAATAGATGTCATGCTTCCGGCGCTGTAGGTCATGTCCATGGCTGGTCGCTCGACTTGTTGCCGGGGAATGTGGTATGTGTGAGGCACGTTCGTGTTCATCGTCGCAATCCCAGGGTTGTTCTGGTCAATGACATAGTATGCTTGCTGAGGCATGCCGGCAGGTCGATGAACCAGCTGCATACTAGCATCTTGAGCGTGGTTTTCATGGATTTCTGCGGGCATGGTTTGACGACCTCCCATCTGTTGTGCCATGCCAAACTGGTTCACATGATGACCGAAATCTGGAAACGAGGCAGCTCGGTGCATCGGATGGCCATGAGTCATTGCAGGATGGGCAATGGCTCCCTGCATGGGCCAGCTCATCGTTTGACTTGGAGTAGTGGGGGACTCGCCCATGTCAGATTCCGAGGTGCAGTCGTCGAGTATGTCGTTGGGGTGCAGGCCGCGCTGATGAGATCGTCGCTGATGCTTGACCATTGTCGTCTTGCGACAGAAGCTGTTTCTAGGGTTAGATCCGGGTCAATCTCTCATAACATGGCCATATCGCATCATGAACTCACCTTTTTAGGCATCCATCATGAGCGCATTTGTAAGGTCGCTTGCCGGTATGAATGCGTCGGTGACGTGCAAGAGATGAAGACTGTGTCCAGTGTAAGCGAAGATGAATGCATGGTTGAGACTGACGTTCTGAACTCACGTCAGAGAAGCGTTTCCCACATCCAATATGCTGGCATTGGTGAGGCTTCTCGCCAGTATGTGTTCGGATGTGGACAGTCAAAGCACTACGTTGAATGAAGCTCTTGCCACAGCCAGGTGTTGTGCAGGTATAAGGTCTCTCATTTGTGTGGATTCGGTAGTGTCGCTGCAAATCTGACTTGCGGTTGAAGCTCTGCGATATGTGTTGGTGAATTGATACTTACTGGCTGGCGGGACGAATCACGTCACATACCTTGTTGCAAGATTCCCAGTCACACTGAAAAGGGCGCGTGGTAGGCTCATATTCGACAAGTTCAAGCAGCTCCATGGTACGGGACTATGTTTTGTTGGACTTGGAAGTGACTCGTGGGTGTCGTATGAGATGATGGGAGGCTTTGTATTGCTATAGCCTTCTGAGGCCTATGCAGGTCGTTCAAGGGTAGAATAGGGTTGATGTCGTACACGCAGGGCGGTAATACCAGATGCGAGAGCGTCCGTTTGGTGTAGAGGTGAGCAGGGATTTGACCGACAAGGAGGTGATTGCTTGACTCCAAGGAATGAATGAAGCAGATGTTGGACAGTGCTTGGTGAAGTAGGCAAAGGGTGAACAAGTTGGGTAGTCGACGGAGACGAGGGAAGATGTCTTCTTTATGAATGTTGAGCAAAGCCAACGCGATCTGAACACAAAGCTTGACAATATAGATGGATAGTCGGGCGAGACGGAGATATATATATAAATATATATATACATACATACATACATATGTATGATCGGAGACTAATGAGCAGGGATGAAAGTGGGACAGGGGTGGTAGGGGTGACTCTGTCAAAAGTAGAATCCACCAGATGGCTGTGGCTTCTGAAAGCAGATAGTATGCGTGGGACGGTCGTTATTTGGGACCAGCCCAAGGACCCTGAAGACCAAAGGCTTTTGTGGACTCTGGGCTGCGGTACTCGACCTGTGCGCTCGGGCACGGGCAAGCCGGGATCTGCTTCACAATCGGCTAGATCAGTGGCAGACCAGATGCTGTAAAGGACGGCCCAGCGATCTCCCCAGGGCAGTTTTGCCCGCGTGGCGTGGACAGAGTTTAGAGGATTCCCGTTGGGCTGCGCTCTCTTTGAACGGCGCCTCTGTAGAGTTGTGGGCGTCTGATAGACACTGTCTGACTGTGTGTGATTGCAGCCCGAGATGAGAGATGTTCTAACAGGACTCCAAACCCAACTTTGCAAGAGCCAACCGAGGATTCTGGAGCCGTTACGAAAACCGAGCCAGAGTCATCGGCGTTGCCCGGAACAGCTAGGACGACACGAGGTTGGCTTGCGAAGGAATCGCCGCCCTCGTGGCTAAGATATCTCCACAGTTGCTCAACGGCGAGGCCCAAAGAGGAGTAAGAAAACGGCAACGCCAACAATAAGTTGTACGCAGAAGTCAACAGTTCACTGAGAGACACTTGATTGGGACTTTTGCAATTGGTGTCTTTTGCAAGTCGTCAGATAGGCCGAGCCGAGGCTGTGTACGCGGCCGATGAATGGTCGATGCCGCCCGTGATGGCTCAACGGCAAGGAGCTTTCGGTCGTTACGTCTTTTCTGAATACCAGGTTAGATGGAGAAGTCTTGAAGAAAGCTCCGCCGCGAGGACGATGGCGCAGGAGCGACGGGCAAGCGAATACTATATAATAATTACAACGAAAACATGGACGAGGGGGCAATCAGACACCACACACAGGCCGGCTGCAGCTGGCTGCACCAGGTGCCCTTGGTAGACGTCGACTCGGGGCGGGAGTAGTGCGAAGCCAAAGGCAGCGACGTAACGAGGGCTTCTTTGCGGATGGCGGCATTGCGGCATCGATCGAGTTGAGTTGACGACAAGGAGTATGGAGCACGTAAGGCATGTAAAGTGACTGATTGACTTGGAAGAGAGTTTGTGGCTCACATGGGTGGGTAGCCCTGCAGGACCACTTCCCGGAGGGCCAGGGGCCAACCAGGAGGAGTGTGGCCTGGCGCGAGGGGGTGGACCAAGTGCTGAATGGCGAGGTACGAGGAAGCGGCGGCGCAGGTACTTTCCCCCAGAAAGCCCCAAGGTACGGAGTACCGAGGAGTCGGAAGGAACAAGGCCATAGAGTGAGTGGGTGGGTGCCTGCACTAACTAAACTTAGGACTGGAGGACACGCCCAGCCCAATGTCGCCATTTGCCGGGGTCCAGCCCGCGGCAGGGGTGTCGGAAGTGGGGGATAGGAGGTGAAGTGTGAAACTGGTAGCGACGAGCAGAGCAGCACCAAGCTGACAACATTCTCACTCCTCTTCACTCCTCACTCCTCCACGGATATCCTGGCTGGGCTGGGCCACACGCGCCGGGCTGTCTCTAGACTATCCAGCCCGTTAGTCGGTAGCAGACGTGCGCCCATGTACACCTTCTCATCGATCAATGCCGGCCGGCCCAGCAAGATGTCGGAACAAATCACGGAGTATATTCTACAATCCGTGACCATACCCCATCCGCGTGGTAAAGCCGTACGCACATACAGTAATATATCAGGTAGTTATTTATCACGCCTGCCGTCTTGTGTACCGATTGGCTGGCCCACTGGCTAATTGAGTTTAGCCACACCAAGCCAGGCAAAGGCAAGATAAGTTACAATGTATGCAGCATGCGTTTACTTGCCGCAGTGGTCGTTGTGAAAGCGATGCTGCGCACTGAGCTTTCCCTCCAGACCAAGAAATTCTCGATTTGCTTCTTTTGCTGCAATGCCTGGGGCAGACGCCAAAAAAGGGACCGCCGTTTTAACTACTCCGCACACCAGCCACGCTACAGACCCCCCCCTCTGTGCGATTTCCCACCTGCGCATCTCTGTTTCCTCAAATCCGCCGAACCGAGCCCGGCCAGGGGTGGAAACTGCGGACAAGGGAAGAGGGCGTTCACTTCTCAGACAACAGGCAGGACCACAGTCTCCGGAGGCAGACAAGACATGCCAGCACGCTGCCAATAGAGGGGCTTGGTCTAGCACGGCAGCCTCCCAAGGAAAGAAGAAAATAACCTAAAACCAGGCCAAGCAACTGCCGTCAGCTAACATTGCAATATTTCCCTACGCTGACAAGCTAGCAGCTAACCAAGACTCGCCAGTCCATGGAACCGCATGGCAAAGCCGTCGGGGCCATGTGCGGGCGTATCATACCGCCTTCGTTTAAGCAAAGTCAACGGCCGCCGTCGAGGTAGTCGAAATGGCCAGTCCCAGTCGCGGCCTGGCCTAGCGACGGGCTCTGTTATGGCCCGTCTATTTCGTACTCGGTTCGCCACCGAGTAAATTTTCTCTATTGATGCCATGCCATGCCATGCCGCAATATCAAGCCTGCTGCTACTTCTCTCCACGTACTTGGTGACAGGGAACTGGGCGGCGGGATGCCACTCAACGGCGTCCAAGCACGTACCGCAGCTTGTCTCGTGCTTCCGCATCCCCAATATCCGTTTTCAAGCCGACTGCACCGACAGCTGCAGCGGCACCTTCCGCTGGGCTCCCATGGAGGAGGTGCCATATTAGGATTAGCTCCAAATACATGCGACCCGTCTAGGCAAGATGTGGTCCCAGGTGATGTGCAACGCCAATTAACTGGCTGTGGTCCTGCCTCCTGCCGCGTCCGCCGCATCTCTCTGAGTGTGCCAGCCATACCAGGGTCTCCCTCTCAGCAAGTGCCTTTGGGGCGTCGTCTCCTTCGATGATGGGAAAAAAAAAAACAAAAAAAAAAAAAAAACCAAAAACCGGGGGAGGGTGAGATGGAGCGCGCCGGAACAAGTCCATCATCGCAGGCTACTCATATGATCAACTAGGAGACACAGGAAGATGGAGAAGCCCATTGTGCTATCAGAGGACGCCCTCTACCGGCAAGCTGATGACGGCGCGGCCGTCTCCCACAATATTCCCGCTGCCAGGCTGCATGTTCAATCACCAACCGACAGGGTCGGCCAGGCGTTGGCACGGCGCTGCGTCGAGCTTCAGGTGGAAGGGGACACGAGCAAACCAGCTTCCGCAGTCAGGTTTTGATGCTTGCGAGCAAGGTCACGCTGAGCAGTTGAGCAGTCCACATTATATGCATCGAGATGTCAAGACGGGACCTGGACAGCCAACAGTACGGCCGTATTACAAGCCTCCCAGGCGGTGGCACTACGACAAGACAGACATGCTCGTGCCTCGTACTGGCGGTGCAGCCCTCCAAGTTGGTCGTGCGCAGCATTTTCGGGACTTGGACTCGTCACCAAGCGGTTCGTGACTCGAGCAAATACTGGACCTGGCCAACCGCGCTAGTGCCTGCAAAAATCGAGACTTGGCCGCGCCGCGCAAGACCAGCCAGGTAGTTAGTTGGTTCATGCCGTGATTGCTTTGCTTTGCTCTGTGTGCTTGTCAGTGGCAAATGCAGCATGCAGCACGCAGGAGACCAATGGCGAAACTGGCAACTTGACGAAGCCGCATTCCATCTTTGCACCATGCACCATGCAGTAGTAGTCTCTTTCTCTCCCCGACTCTCTCTCCCCCTTTTACTATTTCTTCTTTATGGTCAGCCCGACCCAACTGCAGCATCAGAAAAGACGGGGCACCGACCACATCACTCACTCACTGTTTCTGGGGTCGTGTCCCGGAGTCCGGAGTTCTCGGCTGGAGCGGCTGGCTAGTGCTTCTAATGCTGCCAGCCGGTGCTAAATCACGAGCAGGCAGGCAGGCACGCAGACCGACAGGCGTCTTCCCAGAGACTTGCAGCGCTTGTTTGCATTTGACCTAGACAGGAACTTGGCGGCCCGCCGCTCGCCTGCTGCCATGTACCAGCTTTGACTTTTGGCTTTGCGCCGAGACGAACCAGCTCCAGTTCAGGTCGACGGGAATTCGTGCAAAACAATGTCAAGCACAATCCCTGCAAGAGGTTTGCCCTCATCAGCTTGCCCCTCGGCCAATGTTGACTCTTGATGGACACCTTGCTGCCTACACGAAGCCGTAGCAACGTATCGTCCATCGTCCAGACTCCATGGACGGTGGCTGCTTGCTTCACTGGACCATACCATATCGGAGCGACGAGCCAAAGTTAACTGGTCAGGTCAGTCGCCCTGGCCTGACTCGCGGCTGCCCACGGCATCGATCCAAAGGTAGCAATCACAGCTCAAGTCCACGAGGGTTAGCATACCATACCATACCTCGGCTTTCAATGGGACGACATTTTAACTGGTTCTCGTCGTTCCCGTTGCTTTTTCAGTCCCCCTTTTCAAACACGAAGCAGGTTTCTGAATCAGTGTCGTCTGGGCAAGGATGCCAGTAGTTCATCCGCTTCGTCCATTGAAGCTTGGA